GGCTAGGAAGGTTTTCAGCTACTTGTACATGAAGAATGTGGATACAAAATGGAGGAAGCGAACCAGGAAGTTGACTGGTAAATACTTAGAAAACAGCAGGTGGCCAAACCAAAAAGAACTATCGGTTAAGAAGAAAGTGAAGGAAACGGAAACTGACATGTGGAGAATGGGCATGATTAAGAAGTCCGCACTAGAGATCTATCGAACTTTTAAGCAGGAAATTGCCAAGGAAAGGATCTATGATAATACTCGGGGTAGTTCTCTACTGTTTGAGGCCACAACGGGAGTACTGCGAACCAAGACATATCGGGCCAAATATGAAGGGGTAGACACAGTATGCAGTGCGTGTGGAGAGGAAGAAGAAACTGCCGAACACTTGATAATGTTCTGTAAAGGGCTTCACCCTATAGTTCAGGATGATGGCGCCGAGTTTTTCAAAGCACTGCGGTTTAGGGACCGGGAGGGCAAAATAAACTTTAAGCGGGTAGACTTAACTAGAAGGAGGTTATCTGATTGGTGGCTAAAGTCAAGGCACGAGTGAAAATTAAACTCTGCACTGCAAAGTACGAATCCTCAAACTCACTTTTTAAGAAAAAAAAATAAATATAGTTTTTGGTTCATTAGGTATTACGGCTTGGTTGCGCTAGCCACCGCCCGATCTAAAGGGTACAGCCATATGCATCCATCCATCCAGCGAGCCGAGGCCACGCGTCGGAGCATTAGAGTTGAAGGTGCTGCAGGTTGTTCGCCCCATGTTGATTGCAACAGATGAACTCTTAATCGTCGAATGAGTGTATATCGGACCAAAGTATTTTCCCAAACGATAGGAACTGCAAAATGCTCGCTACCTCATTTCTTGCTGCAGTGAGATGTATGGTGGTGTCAGCTGATCGACCGTGCATCAACGAGGCCTTGCGTAATTCTGCGTGCGCTACAGAAAACTGCACGAACTCGAATTGACGGATGAACTGAATGGCACTCCGAGCTCATTTGTGCCGAGCCTGCCTGGCGGGTTAGCCGTAGTAGTGAGCCACTAGCGATCAGCACGTCGTCGTGGCTGCACGGGAGCGAATGTTTAACGTAGCGATGGTTTGCAAACACATGACGCCGTCAACATTACTTGCGCTGCAAGCACCGTGTAATTGCTTCTTCAACGGAACACAAGCATTCAACATCTTATTAAGTAGCGCTTGTGTCGCAGCAGTGATCAAGCGAACAGTGCGCAATTCACTGCACCCGAATGTTTCAGGTTCCACCGCTGTAATCGCAACAGGAATATCGAAACGAATATACGCGTACGCTTTTCACAAGTTCGAAATTGTGAAAAATCGCCGAACAACAACGTCATTCGGGCTGCACCGGAGAAGTACAGGAGAAGTTAGCGTGGACTGTAGTCACAGCATATTTCATTGCTCTAGCCATTTAGCTTGGCTGGTCGAGCTCAAGTGTGTTGGCGGCATGCGGCGCTACGTAATATCCGCAGTAATTGGGCTACACGCAATGCACAAGAAACACTATGCTTTCATTTTGAGCTCGCTGAAGGATATTATACAATAAATACAATCAAACTTACAAGTGTGCTCAGATTTGGATGCACGTTAAAGAACCCCAGGTGGTTGAAATTTCCGGAGCCCTCCACTACAGCGTCTCTCATAATCATATGATGGTTTCGGGGCGTTAGGCCCCACATATCAAAGTATAAGAGGGTTCCGGAAATTTCGATCACCTGGGGTTCTTTAACGTGCACCCAAATCTGAGCACGAGGGCCTATAACATTTCCGCCTCCATCGGAAATGCAGCCGCCGCAGCCGGTATTTGAACCCGCGGCCAGCGGGTCAGCAGCGGAGTACCTTAACCACTAGACCACCGTGGCGGGGCCCCCACGTATCAATCAATCAGAACTTACAAGTGTGGAAAAAAACAATAACGCACGCGGGGAAGTGAAGTGCAACTCGCTGCTCGTGAGTTAGCAGCTGCTATAGTTCATCGTCACTGTCAACCTCGGTGTGTTCTACGCCCAGTGAAAAAAAACCTCGACGTCAGTACGGTTTCTTCAAACACCCCTGCTGACAGTGATTTCACGAAATCTCTCCACCGAACGACTTCGACAATACCAAGAACGCGCCACTCACCACGCACAACACTAACACGGCGTCACGTTTATCTGGGCGCGAAAAACAATTCACTCTGACACCCGGCAAGAAGCGAATCGCTGTGCTTTAGAAACGCTTAGAGTAACTGTAAAGGCCGATTATATACAGTTACTCTAGAATCACTTGAAGTGAGCTGCCATTTATCAACGAACGTAAAACTCAAGCGGCGCAGCGTTTTCCAAGATTTGGAAGAGCAAATCACGAGCCTGCGCTACTTCCTGCCTACAATGAATGATATGGCGTCCATGCAATACAAAAGCACTGACGAATGCTATACGCACGTAAAACAAGGTCCGTTTCCAATGTAAAGATCAGATGACAACATTTCACTATTGTGTGTGTGTTGTGATGTCCTTAAACTGTTTGGTAGAATACTTTGGTTAAACTAGGTAAATCTTGAAGAAATCACACCCTAGTGCCATTATTACAGCGCATATGGGGCATAAGCCTTTGACCGGGTGTCATACTTTAAACTTCTCCTTAAATTCAAGTATATTCTTAAAAAGGACCCCATACTTGAATGAATCACTGCGTACATGTCTTCTAGGCAGCAGTCAGTGTTCACTGAGAATGCCAGTTCAGACTCTGCCCCTGTACACTGAGGCATTCCCCAAGGTTCTGTTCTTGTACCGTCATTCTTTTGGATCTTCATAAACGACATTCCTGAAGACATCATACCTCAAAAATCTGTTCATTTGAGGACAACTTCATCTTATAAAACAAAATACGAAGTCCTGATGATCAGGTTTCTCTCAAAAGATCACTAGATCAAATTAAAAACTGGTGTATCTCGTGGAAGATGCAAGTTAACCCCCACATAACGGTAACAATGATTATCACACGTAAGAGCAACCCACTCAGTTTCACTTATGGTATCGGTGATAATAATCTATCAGCACTTTTCTATTACAAATACTCCGGCATTGTCATTACAGCTGATCTTCGAAGGAACAATCATGTCACCTGCCTACACAAGAAGGCTATGCGGCAACTAGAATACTTACGGGGGAGACGTTTCAAGGCGTCACTAGATGTAAAGCTTGCGGCTTACAAAACCGATATAATAAGGTCAACACTCGAATACGCTGAAGTTCTACGGGATCCGCACACAAATACAACAAAATAGAAAACATGCAGAGAAAGGCCGCTAGATTTATTTTTAACTCATACAGTTGGAAAACGTCACCAAGCGTTCTTTCAACTTCCGCTAATCTGGAGTCCTTACAAACTAGACACTATCATAAAAGGCTACTAATATTTGATATGATATACTATGACAAGATCGGAATGAGCAAAAGCCGCTATTTGAAACCTCTCACGGCAGCGTCCCACTCAATATTTCTACTCAAAAAAGGTTAATGAAATTTCCTGCAAAACAAAAACTTACATTAATTCCTTCCACCGTACTATTCGAGATTGGAACCACCTACCTACCCGGAGAAACAATTCAATGCGATCCTGTTTACAATTTTATTTCTGCGCTTCAAAACGAAAAAAAAATTGTGTCCACAGGACCAGCTGGAGTGAATATTTTCTGAAAATCTATGATAAAATATCTTCAACGGCTTACTGTCTAAGTGCGCCCTTAAGCTTCATAGTCTAAATTATTAGCACTAACCTGAAAACGTTCCGATTCACAAGCGGTCGTAAATGCAGTCGAGAGTTAGTTATTGGTGATGAGGCCATGGGTTGCGGAAAAAAACGTCCCCGGAAGAAATGTCCCTGAAAGATACGTCCCCTAAATAAATGTCCTCGAAAAAATGTTCCCATTTGCGTTGTCACAAAAAAACGTCACCAAAACATGGACACCTTCGAACGTTACACCTTCCAGTCCCCAATTCTTTGTTTCTCAAAAAGAAAAAAATGTGCGCGAAGATTGCAGTTTACTGATTATTGACGAAGCACCATAATGACATACCAACTGTCCCAACTTATCTGTGTAAGTGTAATGTCAGATGCAATATCACATACAGTGCGCATTTCAGATAAATGGAATATAGCTGTGCATGTGCCTCACAAATACATAACGTGGGCGGCATTTTCAGCGCCCATGCATTTCATCCGGAGGCAGCAGCTTCGTCACACCATCACTCTGCAGTTAAGTGTACGCTTTCGGGATCTCAATCGATGCTTGCTTTGTGGTTCACTGAACGGTATTTATTTGCGGAATGGAGATAATGAAATCGAATAAAGGAGGCAAAAAGCTGTGCGTGGGTGGTTATGTGTAAAGACAAAAACTACTGCCTTAGGTGTGCGCTGGAAGGAAGGAAAATAGAAGGAAAAGAACGGCAGGGAGGTTAACCAGCCTACAGGCAGCCGGTTCCCTACCCGGCGCATGGGAGGGGGATGAGGGAGATGAAAGATAGAGAGGAGAGAGGGAAGAAAATAAACACAGCACAATAAGGAGCACACGCGCGCACACTCAGTCATAGTTCCGTCTTGTCTTTCGTGGTGTGTGACATTGCTATTACAGCCGCTTGTTCAAGTCCGTGTCGCGGGTTGTGCTAAACGTAATGGATGCAAAGGCGTTTTAGTTAGTGTGGAATAAATATTTCATATAAAGTGTCGAATAAATATTTTAGTTTATTAGTTCCTCAGTTAATTTTGACTTGGAGACCTCCCGGGAACGTTTATTCAGGGGACGTTTTTTTTCCTGCATCCATGAGGCCATTGTTGTAGCGACGGCGTACGAGAGCCACTTATCGGTTACCTTGTTGCTATAGATAAAGGCTCTCACACGACTTACTCCACGCCCTTGGATGTTCTTTCTACGCGATGTGGAAGGCACAACAGAGGAAAAGTGTCAACCGAGGAAATGTGTCAAGTGCCACTACTTGCCTGTCGCGCTGGCGGCTCCGGCATTCGGTGACCGTAGTCATTAAACCTCGCATTGTGGTTGTCACCTTTGGCCCTCGGAGGTAAGCGAGCGACTGTCCAAACGCCGGCGGTCGTCTTTTCTTCTGCCTAGATTCGCTCGTCCTCAGTTTTATTTCACAATTATCTGCACTTTGGGGCCTCTTATCAAAGCCCCCACCTTACCACCGGGAGCTTGCGCGATAAACAACTGCTCAGGTGGCAGTGACGAACACCTTCTTCGTCCCAAGTGTGATACGACTGAGGAATTTCGAGATATCGCGCGATCGTAAAATGAGCGTACCTTCCGCGCTCATTCATCCCTTGTAGCTTCTTACGAAGAGGTCCCAGCAGCCTCATCAGCTCTGCTGACCCCTCTTGCTACAGGTTGGTTCTCGGAGCACTGCTGATTTTCTCGACGGTGTAGCCCTTAACTAATACGTCTGTTGTGCCGCGTGATGAAGGCAGGTCGAGATGTCGAGGATGGGCACTGAGGCAGTCCTGAAATCACAGTGATCGTTTCGGTTTTCTCAGTTATGGTAGGCCAGTTGATCTTGCCATAACAATCAGGGTCGTCAGTTGTTTCGCCTATGCATCACATTGTGGTTTGGGACGTTAAGCCCCACATATCAAAAACCTCGTCAATCGCATTATTGCCCGGTGGACTGGAGTATCTACAGAAGCGATTTTCGTAATTCGTCACAGTCGTGCTGTTGGTGGCTTATCTACGCTATATTCAGTGATGTAGAATTAGATACAAGTGATTGTCTTGTGCATCGATATGTGATTGATTGATTGATTGATTGATTGATTGATTGATATGTAGGGATTAACGAACGAAAACCCCCTTATAATTATGAGAGACGCCGTAGTGAAGGGCTCCAGAAATTTCGACCACCTGGGCTTCTTTAACGTGCACCCAAATCTGAGCACACGGGCCTACAGCATTTCCGCGTCCATCGGAAATGCAGCCGCCGCCGCCGGGATTCGATCCCGTGACCTGCGGATCAGCAGCCGAGTACCTTAGCCACTAGACCACCACGGTGGGTCTATCGAAACGTGATGCATTTGCTTTTCACAGTAAATTGTTGAATCAGCACTGTGTGCGTTCACTTTCTGTGTGTCCTGTGTTTTTTTTTTTTTTGCGCTGTTTGCTAATCATGTGCAGCGAACTGCAGCTTTCTGCACATTTACATACACCGCAGCAGCTCAGTGCAAGGAATTTAACATCGAAAGCTGTTAACAGGAACTACAAACCTCGGCGACCTGCCCCGCCGCGGTGGTCTAGTGGCTAAGGTACTTGGCTGCTGACCCGCAGGTAACGGGATCGAATCCCGGCTGCGGCGGCTGCATTTCCGATGGAGGCGGAAACGTTGTAGGCCCGTGTGCTTAGATTTGGGTGCACGTTAAACAACCTCAGGTGGTCGAAATTTCCGGAGCCCTCCACTACGACGTCTCTCATAATCATATGGTAGTTTTGGGACGTTAAACCCCACATATCAATCAATCGGCGACCCTTCCAACAATAATAACAGACCCGCGATGACCTTGTCGATTCGCCCTTCCGTTATTACCATACGAGCGCCCTTTAGAACTGCGTAAACAGTCGTGTATCAGATTCCCTTTCCCGTTTATTACCTACTAACACGTGCGACACAGGTACGCGGTGCGTTATTTTCATTCTTTATCGTTCTTCGCTTTGAGTGGCGGGAAAGTCCTTGAGGTGGCCAAGATATTCGCATGTGGGCACGTGTTTGGGGGGCTTGTGTTTGCGTGTCACCGAGTGCACGGTGCGCAGTATTTACGCTATCCCCTTCAAATGCTTTTACGTCTGCGGCAACGGTGACCTTTCTCTCTCCTCCAGTTCCTGTGTTTACAAGGAGTAGCGAACTTCGAGAATTGATTATGAGAGACGCCGTAGGGAAGGGCTCCGGAAATTTCGACCACCTGGGGTTCTTTAACGTGCACCCAAATCTGAGAACACGGGCCTACAACATTCCCGCCTCCATCAGAAATGCAGCCGCCACAGCCAGGATTCGATCGCGCGACCTGCGGGTCAACAGCCGAGTACCTTAGCCACTAGACCCCCACGGCGGGGCAACTTCGAGAATTAATGGAGTGTGAATACCCCAAGGTCACGTGCAATTGTTTTCTTTTATTCTATTCGTTACTGCCCCACTTGAACGTTACACTTCGGAGGAAAGCAATACATCGTATTTAATGTTCTAGTCACGCAAAGTAGTCCAGACATGCGTTACCATCCGAAAGCTATACAATCAAATGTCCATAAATAATAAATAAACTACACTATCATAAATTAATTGGCCATTCGAGCACCAATTCAAATTAAACCTAAAAATACGGCGTCCGTCTCTTTTTCTGTCCCTGTTCCGCATTGCACCCCATTTTTGCATTTGAAATGAATTCGTATTAGAACCCCCTTACTGCGCTTCTCTGCATTATCCTGAGGGTAGTCCGCCTTGTTGTATCGTTGGCTAGGGTGCCCGGCTGCTTACTCGCAGGTCGCGGGTGCGATCCCGGCTGCGGCGGTCGCATTTCGATGGAGGTGAAATGCAAGAAGCCCGCGTACTGTACGTGCGAGATCAGCACACGTTAAAGAACACCAGGTGGTCTAGATTTCTGCAGCCTTCCAATACGGCATCCCTCTTAACCATGTGGTGGTTTTGGGACGTAATACTGCACATAAAATTATTTCAGAGGCTGGTAATACAGTGTTATGAGCTGAACGTACGCCTTCGAAAGTCTAAGGATGTTTTTTTTTTACTTTCTAAGCAAATGAGAACGGTTACTGCCATTGTTTTGCAACGACAGATTGCTTGAGTATACGTAATATAGCCACATTGCGCCCCAGGGGGTCACGTAGAGAGGCAGACTTTTTCTTTCCCCTGAATTTACATTCCAATGTTGCATTTCACTTTTTTTTTTATCATCCGCATTCGTTTAAGCGGCTTCGGCTCAGTCTTGGTTCGTGAGACTGCCTTCCGAAAGGTCGCAGTCTACGACTTTGCACAACAGCAGTAGGAGAGAGGTGCGTTTCGCGGATTTGCCGCCGACAAGGATCGCGTTGTGAAACAGGGAGAGTGAAACGCATAAACTAGATTCGGGCGCCGCTTCTGTGACGCCAAGGTAAAGCCCTCCGTGCACACAGAAACGTGCCCCGCCGCTGTCGACCGCATTAAGAGAGGCCCGCCAACCGTCAGCTCTTTAACGGCGTACTTTGCGGTATGGGCAACCCTTTCAGCGTGTGGTCCATTCGAGCTAGCACGCTTCCTTACAGAAGTCGCTGTAGTAATTTTGTTTAACGTACATTGACTTTGCGTAGTACCCTATTCAGACTTTTCATTGCAGTATACTCTAAGTGGGACACGCGATTTCTCTCGGGAATTAGGCGCATATAGGCTCTGCATTACGCGGGTCTCGTCCCGCAGACATGGCGAGGAGCGTGGAGTCGCTGAAGCGGGACCCGAGGTTCGGGGTCGACTCCCGCTGGAGCTGGGTGACGGCGGGGTTCCTGAGTTTGGTTCTGTGCGGAGCCCTAATGGGTCAGCAGGCGGCGGGAGTCATCTTCTACGGCATCATCGAAGCCTTCGGCGTCACCAGGCAGCAGGCTTCGTGGCCACCGGTCGTCAGTGGCAGCCTCCTCGCCTTGGCAGGTAGGTGTGATGTGTGGTAAATCCTGGCGTTATCTGTGAACCTATCCGCAGATCGCTGGTTGTGGCCTATAAGGACCACCACGGTCTCGTCACACTTGGCAAGCGTTTTCGAAAATTGCTCAGGATGCAAGGCCATATATCCCATTGCGCGCCATCTAGTCGGCAATGTGGCTTCCGGGCACGTTCGGTGTCTTAAATTGCTTCTAATTTTCTTTTCACTTCCGGTTATAGCCTAGTTAAGGAAGGCATCTAGGATCTAACACCTGCTGAAAATGGCCACTAAAACCCCCGACCCTTATTGCACCCATGAGCGTTGGGAAGGCTCATAGCCAGGATAGACAGGAAGAAGGGGTGTGGAGTCCTAGGGGCCCAGTTATACTAGCCCCCCCCCCCCCGCCAAAAAAAAATTTGATGGAGTGTGACTTGCCAAAATTAAATGATAAAGGTACACAGGGGGATCAGGGAATGGGACCATCATGAAGAGAAATAGGGTGGAGGTAAAAATTAAAGGGACAGAGAGAGAGACAGTATATTCACTGCAGCATGTAGAACTCCACTGCAAGTCAGAGGCGTTCACAAAAAGGAGGTTTTTAAAAAAAATCTAGGCTTACTTAAGAAAACTAGTAACCCGAGGGCGCACTTTCAGCACTATCTGACCCTAAATCGTTGCCACATTAAACTCGTTGGGCGAGGGAGAAAAACGCTTTTTCTCAATCGCCGAAGGCCAACAGCTCATCATGCCATTCTGCTTTTACTTTCTAGCGGCTTGCGCTTCGTATCTACTTCCCACCTTTAACCACCTCGAGTTCATGCTATATACTAGTTCATTATATTCATGGCACTGCGGCTCAACGCTCGCTAAACCTTTCTAAAACAAAGGAGGTTACACCCAGCGAGTATAACGTAGCAACCCTTTCTTGTCAGATAGTGCTCAATGTACATGCCAATGGCTGCTAACGGGGATCGCAGTGTGCGCGTTAACTAAAAGCCGAATGCTCCTGTCTCCCATTTCCCCTTAGCAGCTACTGGCATGTACATTGAGCACTATTTTTTTATTGTTCAACAACGCACAGAAGAAATCTCTCGCCGGCACCACCTTGGAGGTCGAAATGCTATACTTGTTACACACTACAACGACTACGAGGGACGAACGGGTGCCGCTATAAGGAGCTTCGCCCCTGAAAACCCTGCCTACTGACCTGGCTAGGGAGTCTTGGCCAGCTCTAACCTCAACAATCAGCTAAGAGTGGCCGGGAGGGCCTAGGACGCAACTAGAACCCAAGATCAAGGCATCCTGAACAAAAGACACATTTCCTTAGCTACCATATAAATAAACGTGTTTATTAGGGGCGAAGTACCGCAAGGTCTCTGCTTGCCGGCATGTCGTGTCGCGACCATCCATCATAAACGGCTACACGCAACAAAAGTCGGGTAAATGCCACTACTTGCCGTCTATCCATGCTATGCAAATTATGGGCTAAAGGTTCGTCGTGAGTATACATAAAACACATCGCCTAGTTTAGAAGTGATGTCAGAATTCCCGACAAAGCTTACTAAAGCACTCATGTTTTTTATCTAATACCAGAGACGCAAACGTGCATGTCTACAGTGAAATCTTTTATTCAAAACACAATTTTTGAACTTTTTCTATTATAGAATTGTAGATTTAAGCACCGCCACCTAAATTCGTAACAGGAGTGCGACGGGATGGCTCTACGTTCTCCCATAGTAGTGTACTCAAAATCGTGAGCCACTTTTTTTAAACACCTTATAATCTTCTCGCCTCCATAACGCGAAAGTTCATCACCGGGACGGCTTTAAGCTCTCCCATAGTAGAGTACCCTGTACTCTAAATCGTTAACCACTTTTCTAAACACATAACCGGAAGTCATCGAGGGGTCTGTAGGCCCACGGTACGGCTTTAGGCTTTCCCATAGTAGAGTACCGAGTGCTCTAAATCGTTACCCCTTTCTTTCTAAACGTAACCTTCGCCCACGTCCTTCGGTTCAATACCGGGTAGAGGCAAGCAAGACCGGCGCTTGTCCAGGGACGGCTTATTGCTCTCCCATAGTTGAGTACCAAGTACTCTAAATCGTTCACCACTTTTTCTAAACACACACCACGGGACGGCTCCATGCTTCCCTATGGTAGAGTACCAAATGCTTTAAAGCGTTAAACGCTTTTTCTAAACGCACCCGGTGATCTGTTATTCTAGCATCTTAGGCAAGTCTTGTAAAGACTACAGAAGGACGGCTCCCTGCTCTCCCAAAGTTGAGTACGAAGTACTCGAGATCGTTAAAGGCTTTTGCTAAGCTGACATTACTAAGTGATGTTGCGTTAGGGGATCGAAGGAGAGGAAAGCACAGTATACAGCACAGTGTTTTGCGAAGCACCGGCGTACACTTCATGCTTCGCCACTCGCCAGGTTTCACGTCAGTGAAGCTGGAACACTTCTTTTCTGTTTAATAGCAGCGTGCTTTTTTTTTTCGAACTATCTCTCTCTCTAATATCATCGCAGCCCCCATCATGGGATACTTGTGCAGGCGTTTCTCGTGTCGGGCCGTGCTGCTCGTCTGCCCACTGGTCGCCAGCGCTTCCGCCTGCATCTGCTTCTTCGCTAACGACGTCCTCTTCCTCGTCGTTGCCTTCGGCGTCGTCCATGGTGAGCCACACATCGTATACGAGCTAGTAGGTACTCCCGACATTAAAGATACATACATACATACATACATACATACATACATACATACATACATACATACATACATCCATACATACATACATACCTACATACATACATACATACATACATACATACATACATACATACATACATACATACATACATACATACATACATACATACATACATGCATCCATGCATGCATGCATGCATGCATGCATACATACATACATACATGCATGCATGCATACATACATACATACATACATACATACATACATACATACATACATACATACATACATACATACATACATACATACATACATACATACATACATACATACATACATACATACATACATACATACATACATACATACATACATACATACATACATACATACATACATACATACATATTGCCTGCCCCGCCGTTGTGGTCTAGTGGCTAAGGTACTCGGCTGCTGACCCGCAGGTCGCGGGATCGAATCCCGGCTGCGGCGGCTGCATTTCCAATGTAGGCGGAAATGTAGGCCTGTGTGCTCAGATTTCAATGCACGTGGTGGTCGAAACTTCCGAAGCCCTCCACTACAGCGTCTCTCGTAATCATATGATGGTTTTGAGACGTTAAACCTCACATATCAATCAATCAATCAACATACATACATGTTGGATGAATGGATGAATCAACAGAACCATCACTAAGTACTGGTGACAACATGACCTAACATTTGTCGAGACGCTGTCTTCGCAATGATGTTTGCAATTAATGACCTTGCAGTAGTAATTTCTTTTATCTCTCTTCGTTCCTATAGGCACGGCGGTGTCTGGCGTATATGTCGCAGTGAACGTGCTGGTATCGCAACACTTTGAGAAGCGCAGAACCACCGCTTGCTGCATGATATTCCTGATGAGCGGCCTCAACCTGATCTACGTTCCACCACTGACCGAGCTGCTGCGTTCCACGTACGGTCTGAGAGGCATGCTCCTTCTTCTGGGCGGAATCATACTGAATGCCTGTCCAGCAGTCATCGTCCTCCGAGGCCCCGCCTGGATGGATCGACCAGACGCACCTTCCGCCGGCAACGGCGTTGAACTCGCCAAGCACAAAACAGCAGTCGGGAATTCGCATTCGAGCGCATTCCGCGACGAAAGCGGGACAGCGGCGGAAAAAGGTCATACGGAGCGATGCCTGTCGAACACCAGCCTTACTGAAGTTCGGAGTGTTCGAAATGGCACAAAACACGTGATCCTGTGCAACATACACCCAGAATCCGCGAAGACTACACAGTTCAGCGAAGTGGACAACGAAGGCTACTTTTCTGCACTAAGGCCATTCGCTACGGTTGCCTTCGCCATCAACGCTGCGTCCTTCAGTGTAGTGGTGTTCGGACTAACGACGTTTTTTCTACTTCACGTCGACATGGCCGTCGACAGAGGAGTCACGCCCGCGCGTGCGGTGCTTCTCATGAACGCCTTCGCCGCCGGCGACCTCCTCGTGAGACCCGCCAGTGGCGCTGTCATCGACGCGGGACTGCTGAGCCTCGATGTGGTGATGCTTCTGGGTTACGTGATTCAGGGCTGCGCCTTCGAACTGTTCGTGTGGCTTCGAAGCTTCCCGCTCATGCTGGTCTGTTCGGCTCTGATAGGAGTCAGCAACGGAAGTCGCATCGCGCTGCAGGCGCCATCACTCACCAGAGACTTTGGAGTGGAACCACTGCCTATCTTGATGGGCGGACTGGTGTTCTGCCAGGGATTTGTACACCTAACGAGGCCCTTCTTGTTCGGTGCGTGACTACTTAGCACTCACGATTCTTCGCCACTGGCAACGTAATGGTTAGAAAGAGTGCTTTGAATACATGTTACGTAACCTCCGTAGGTGAAAATTAGTCCGAAGAATGTGCGCGATATGACGTGGCTCACAATCAGATGCTCGTTCCGGGACTTAATATGTACAGAATAAGTATTTTCTCATAATTTGTGCATGTTTTACACATCATAGCAAATGACCAAACGTAAACGGCCCAAAAGACCGTTGTAAAATACGATAAGGATAGTAAAGGCAAGGACATGTTTCAACGTAATTTACGTGGGGATAATGAGATTAGTTGTGACAGGGGTTAGAAAAGACAAAAAAGTAGGCATCTCTTCTTTCTGTATGCATTTTCCTTCTCCCTCAATTCTGATATAGAATAACAAACGTGAAGCTTCCTATACAGTGAAGCTTCCTTTTCCCTCGCTTGTCTCCTCTCTTCCTTTTTCTCTCTTTACGAGTAGTCTATACTATCAGAGGGTGCACTGATTAGGCCAACGCGGGACATCCTACTGAGAAAATTGCCCATACAAGCACGCTGAACTCAATGAAGCCCCCTAAACGTGGGTAATGTATGACTGCTGCGTAAGTCCAGTGCACTAATTATTTAAAGAGTTCTACGTATGATGAGATAGCTACTTATACCTGTAATATGTGTATGATGCAAGCGGTACTATTGTACATGTACAGCCGCTAAATAACGGTTGCCACTTCTTAGAACTACTGCGTTTTCGTGGTTGATTCGCACGCTGTTAAAAGTAGAGGACACGTAAGGTGTGTGCTGGAAGCCTGAAATTCACGTGAGCGTGCTGGACGTGATATTTTCTGCAAGTAGTTCATTCAAATATTCGCGAACGCTGCACAGCCTCGGTCTGAAATATTCCCCATTTAGAGCAAGAAATTTTTGGCAACAAGTTTGAGTCTTCAGAAGTCGGCATCACAATTCGTTGATGGGGAAGTTTGGGCTTACAAAACATATTCGCAGTTATTTCTCGAGACACTATACTGTATCACGAGCGGGAAATAACGGTGCGGTAGACGCAGGTAAGGCATCGCGCTTTCCGAAGTCTATGCGTATGCTTTATAAAATGTGTTTGTAGACCACTCGAGTCGAGCACAACTGTGTCGCATGGTCAATAAGCCTGTTTACATTGAGAAATTGCTAATAGCGTAGATAAAGACAAGATAACGACCACTACAAATACAGGTGCTCGTTTAGCGCTCGTATATGTGTCAAACAATAGTGCTGTCCTAGAAACAATAAAGATCAACCAATAGCGCACCAATATTTTCAAGGCTAGTTGCTATCTTAGAGGGTCCACAAAAAAACCTAATTATTGCTCTTTATCTAAGCCATTATCGTTTGAAATATGTGATCGACGTCGTCACTTAGCGTCGCCTCTAGCGCTAGAACCTCTCATGGACACAATCCACTTATAGATATATATACTGTTTCCCTTTCATTTCCGACATTGTGTGTTATTTGAGTTATGAAGCATTTTTTTCTTTTCTATCTTTTCAGGTTACTACCGAGATGGCCAGGGGTCGTACAACGGCATTTTCCACGTTGTGGCTGTCTTAAATGCTGCACTAGTATTCGTTTGGTTAGTGAGGGTTATCTTGAGGAGGCGCACAACGAAAAGGAGAACACATATGGCCACTAGGCTCTAAAACAAAATAGTAACTGCTGATCAGCTGCAGTTTCGGTAGCTTGGAAGCACGTACGTGTGGCTCAAGGTTTTACGTACCAGGACGTTGCACCAATTTCCAAGTACAACTCGGTCCACAAGTTAGTCCCAAGGTGACAGTAGAGCAACATGCTTAAATACTACAACCGTTTATTATCCTAATTGCGGCATCATCTACATATTTTTGTAGATTTTCGGCACCTTTATTTGTGACGTAAATAAAGTACACAGCCGGTCTGAGACACCTCATTCCTGGTCGGGCATTCTTTGTTCCACACACTGTCTTATTTTCTCTCTCTTTTCTCTCTCTCTCTCTCTCTCTCTCTCTCTCTCTGTCCCTCTCTCTGTATACATTTGATCTCTCCCATCTTTACCATGCCATTGCATCAATTTCCAAGTACAAATTGGTCCTCAAGTGGTCGCCAGATCGAAGCAGAGTAACATGCTAAAATATTACACTTTGTGAACTAAAGCATGCACGTACCTGTGATAAGGTGCTTCAGACGCGCTAAGTACTTTATTTACATCACAAATAATAACGTGCAAATTATATATAAATATATGTAGATGATGCCGCGAGATAACACATACTTGAAGTATTCCAGCGCGTTACCCTGCTTTAGTCAGGCGACTAACTTATGAACAGATTTGCATATGGAACTTGGTTCAATGACTTGATACGTTTCTCTAGATCTGGGAATCCGTTGTAAAGATGGGAGTCAGAACAGAGATTCTAACGACGTAATCCTAACAACTTACTTTGAAGTCAAGCCGGACCAAGCGTGCATGGAGAGTCATGTTCAATAAGTGAACGTGTTATTGTTGGGATCAGAATCTTGCGCAAGTATCTGCAAAAGTTCGGTGTTGGGTAGTCTCCCTGCTAAGGATAGGGACCGTTCTCCATCCCTTCCTGCACCCACCACCCCTCACCGAACAAGATACCTTCATGTGTGGCGACATAGGTGTATCGGCAGGGGGGGGGGGAAGAAGGGCGCTAGCTCCCCACTCAGAAAAGTTGGGGGGGAATCCCCCACTGTCGAAAGTGTTCACTGTGGCTGCACACTGAGGAAACGAACAATTAAGACGAACTTTCCGTTCACCACAGTACTCATATACATTGTTACAAACAAATGAAGATTCCTTCTGTTCCTTCCCCTGTCCTATGTTTTAAAACGCGCTACGTCGATTAAATGAAGATATTACGAGAGATTGCTACAATATAGTGAAATTTTCCCAACATTTTTGTTGTGACGATTTCCTTCAGGGCTCCTTGCGGTGCGGTCCACCTATGCAACGCTTTCGCGCCTTGTGCTCTGCCATTGCAGAGCAGGCTAGCGCTAAACCAGGGCCCTCTAACATTACATCACTTGTTCATACTTTTATTCTTCTGTGACTGACCGATGCAGTTATGGATGGGAACGAAGAAACCTTTTTATGAACGAGTCGAAGCATTGGCTGCTTCAGAAAAATTATTCTCTTTCATCAAAAAGGAATAGCATCACGGCTGTTCTGTCGGAGCAGCTGTGAGACGATGATTGTGACGAATATTTTAATTGTATTTATTATTTTTAATTTTTAATTGCAGCTTGTCCTGCAACATTACCCGGCACACCAAGAGGAAGGTGAAAGACCGTATTTTTTAGCACTATAGGTGCTTAATTAAGAGTCAGGTTCATCTCATCAAAGTGCGAGCGTGTCAATATTATATATATATATATATATATATATATATATATATATATATATATATATATATATATATATATATATATATATATATATATATATATATATATATATGTGAGCAATATTTATGCGTCCCATCTTTTCATCTGTACATACTCATCATCACCAGTCAAGTTTAGGTTGTGGGGCACATACTCAAGTCAATAAAGGAGAGTCTTGAGTGTACTCGACGCCATCTTACAAGTGGTGGAGGTGCTTGGTATCGATCCCAGTACCTCTCGCATATATATATATATATATATATATATATATATATATATATATATATATATATATATATATATTATATATATATATATATTATATATATATATATATATTTTATATATATATATATATATATATATATATATATATATATCTTCTCACGTTACTCTCGACAAACTTGATAAAAAATGGGCTCGTTTAGTCGACTACTCAAGCAGCGGCTCAGAGAGATCGTCTTTGTCTTCTTTCACTCTTCGATCTCACCCAAGCAAACCTTCGATCGGCTGGAGCAGGCCCGCGGGTCTCACAGGCGGAGTCTTGCGGCGCTGGCACTCACGGCAGCCTTTCACATATCGATGTACACTAGTTGATAGTCGCGGCCAGTAATACTGTTGGCGTACTCGGGCGAGAGTTCGCGAATAGCCCAAATGTCCTGACGTGGGCTCGTCGTGGCACGCCAGAAGGATTTCATCACGCATGTCGGTAGGAACAACGAGTAGGAAAGCCTTGTCGCTACCACGGGCGTTTTTCTTGTAAAGAATGCCTCTTCTTAGACAAAAAGAGGACAGTTCGCGAGCAATGTGTTGAGGGACCTTAGAGTTGCGGCCTTCCAGGGAATCAATGACTGGGCGTAATTCATCATCTGCCCGCTGCTTTGACATAAATTCGGAGTCACTAACTGCTCCGAGAAAGGCATCTTCATCTTCGGAGCCCCTGACAGCGTTCCCCACAGGTGCTCGAGAAAGCGCGTCGGCGTCTTCGTGTTTGCGCCCTGACCTGTACACAATCGTAATGTCAAACTCCTGCAAACGCAAACTCCACCGTGCGAGACGGCCGGATGGATCTCTGAGATTTGCCAGCCAGCAGAGCGAGTGGTGGTCAGTCACCACTTTGAAGGGACGACCGTAGAGGTAAGGCCGAAATTTGGTCGTCGCCCACACGACTGCGAGGCATTCTTTTTCTGACGTAGAATAGTTGGTCTCAGCTCGAGAAAGAGTACGACTGGCGTAAGCTATCACATGCTCCACGCCGCCGTGTCGTTGTACAAGGACAGCGCCAAGTCCGACGTTGCTGGCATCTGTATGAATTTCTGTAGCAGCGTCCTCATCAAAATGGGCAAGAACAGGGGCTGTTTGCATTCTCTGTCGTAACTCTGTGAACGCCGTATCTTGTTCTGCGCCCCAAGTAAAGGGTACGTCATCTCGGGTGAGTCGCGTAAGAGGTTCAGCTATCTTAGAGAAGTTGGCGATAAATCGGCGATAATACGCGCACAAGCCGAGGAAACGGCGTACTGCTCTTTTGTCTGATGGAACAGGGAAGGCGGCGACAGCAGCAGTTTTGTCTGGATCAGGTCGCACTCCATCTGCACTAATGACATGTCCCAGAAATTTCAGCTCTTCATAGCCGAAATGGCATTTTTGGGGTTTCAGCGTAAGTTCAGCTGTGCGAATGGCTTCCAGAACCTTTCTCAGACGCTTCAGATGTTCTTCAAAGCTCTCGGAAAAGATGACCACATCATCGAGGTAGACAAGGCAGCTTTGCCACTTCAAGCCAGCGAGAACTGTGTCCATCATCCTCTGAAAAGTGGCTGGTGAAGAACAGAGGCCGAAGGGAAGAACTCGGAATTCGTAAAGTCCGTCTGGAGTCACAAACGCGGTTTTTTCTCGGTCTCGTTCATCCACTTCAATTTGCCAATAGCCACTCTTTAGATCGATGGACGAAAAATACTTCGCACGTCGTAACCTGTCGAGGGAGTCGTCTACTCGTGGAAGCGGGTAGACGTCCTTTTTTGTGACGCTATTAAGCTTCCTGTAGTCGATACAGAATCGCAGCGTTCCGTCTTTTTTCTTTACTAGAACGACTGGCGAGGACCAAGCGCTGCTGGATGGTTGAATAATCCCGTCATCGAGCATCTCTTTTACTTGTGTCTGAATAGCCTCGCGTTCTTTGGCAGAAACGCGATAAGGCTGCTGCCGGATGGGGCGGACGTCATCGTCGGTAATAATTCGATGCTTCGTGAGGTGAGTTTGACGGACTTTAGAAGTGCAGCCTTTCTCTCGTCTGACAGCGTCGAATTAATGTCGATGTGGTCTAGAAATTCCTTATCCTCATGCGTTTCCTCGGACGCGAAGCACTCCGTGACGTCGGCAACAGGTTCTCCATAAGCTAGGGTGGTTCCACGGAAAAGATGCCGGTGCTCGTAATTGAAGTTCGTAGCTAGTATCGTTGACTGTCCGTCACGGACGCGCACTACACTTCGGGCGGCGCATACACCTTGGAGCAGCAGAAGTGATAAGTTGCTTTCAGCCACCACGTCGCCGTCTTGGAAGTCTTCACAAGTGACTTCGATGGGAACAGTTGCTCGAGGTGGCAGCGTCACACTGTCGTCAGCAACACGCAGCGCAAGTCTACCGCAGTTATCGGCGTCTCGATCTGTTGCGCCTTGAGTCGAGAAGGTCACGATGCGCTCACGGAGATTTATGATGGCACCGTATTCCCGAAGGAAATCCATGCCGATAATCAGATGACGCGAACAGTCGGGGAGAACGAGGCAGCTGAGCACAAACGTTGACGCACGAATTTTCACTCTTGCGGTACAGCGACCCAGCGGTGTTACAACGTGTCCTCCAGCTGTTCGAATTCGCGTTCCATTCCACGGCGTGATCACTTTTCTGAGATCTTTCGCTAGCCTCCCGCTGATGATCGAATAGTCTGCACCAGTGTCTACCAATGCACTGACCTGAAGACCGTCAACCAGCACAGGTATGTCGAGCGACACGCGGTCACTAAGTTCAGATGCGGTTGTCGGCGTTTCTTCGGCACTGCGATTATTCTCTGACGAAATGCCTTCAGCGTTGCGTGCAAGCATCGATGGGAGGTCTTCCGCACTTTGAGTCCCAGCGACCTTGCCCCCAAAGGCCGCTGCCTTCAGTTTTCCCGACGAGGGCTCGGGGAGCGTTCCCGTGCCGTCACCCCAAAACGTGGCCCAGTGGCTGCGGGTCTCCTCGGAGATGGTGACCGCGATTGCCGTCGTGTAAAGGGTGCACGCTGTTGCGCGAGATATTCTTCGATATCCCTTGGCCTTTGACCAATTCGGGGACGAGGGGAATTGACGGAAAATCCGCGCAATCCAAGTTGCCGGTATGGGCATTCGCGGTAAATGTGACCAGCCTCACCGCAATGATAGCAGAGGGGTCGTCTGTCTGGCGTACGCCAGAGATCAGACTTGCGCGTCGGTGTACGGCGACTATCGATGTCCAAATCAGCGTGCGCTGACTGAATCGCGACTGACGGCA